TCGAGGGCGGAAACTAACCACAAAGAAACTTTTGTTCGCAAAATTACTTAGATATTCAAATTGGATTACAAAATAAATAAGAAAAAGGAAACTTGGTCTCAAATTTAGATAAAGAGCCCATTGTGAAAAAGCCCACGGGGGATAGGCAAAATGTTCCCGTAGCAATTAACATACATTTTGATTAGCATAAAAATTTTTATTTCTCCTTTCCAATATCAATGTCATGAACCTGCATTTCAGTAGATTCTAATGTAAGTTAACTAAAGTTATTCGATAGTATGGATATACAAAATTTTGTGAATTTAAATTTTGGATCTTCCAGATTTTAATCTGCTAAATGGAAAGCATCGACTTTTTGAACGGTCTGGTAAAATGACGAATTCCAAGAGCAACTACCATTTTTGAGCCCGATCCATTTGGGCATTAAATCTTGAATGATAAATTAGGAAATATATTAAAGCAGCCATATGTGCTTGACAAATAACTCCACGTTGAAAAAAGTATAAGTATTTGAAGCAGTTCATCGATTTGAGTATATGACTTAAGGCCAAATTGAAGGATTCTCCTCTTCACAATAAAGTTAATCCTTCTGAAATCTTGACTTATCTGCCGTCATTTTTATTTTTTCAGCAAGACAAAAAAGCAGGTAATACAATTCGCGTTTTTTTTTTTTTGACGAAATTTTCTTACCACAATCCGATCTTTGTTCGATTTTGCACACAGTTAAACACGTACTTTATAATACAATTTTTTTAAATGCGAAACACACTTTCCATTAGCAAAAAATAGGACAAAAACTTTAAAAACTGTAAAAAGAGGTAAAAAATGGACTTTCAGTCTATCTAGACTTTTGAGTGTACTTTAGTTAATTAAAACTCACTTTGACCATCGAAATTGATCGGACATGAAATAAGGTCTTGTAACCACTTTTTAGCACCATTTTTCCTTCAGTGGTCAAGGGTCGTTGTGACAACACAGTCTATTTTAGTAGCTCTTTTAAGTGTTTTTAAAGGCTTTTGTGATAAAAATATCTTTTATTTTCAAATACAACCAGACCGCAAAGAAATGGTAGTCGCGGTTTTATTTTTCTAAATAGTGTTAATTTTTTAGTTTTTGAAGAAAAAAATTCAGTTTTTTCATTTCACGGTATCAAAAATTTTCCGGTATTTACTGCAAAATTGAGATGATTTTGAAAAATACAATTTCTGTGTTGAACGTAACGAGCTCCTAGGAGCTGTAAATTTGTCTGGTAAGTAGAATAGTTTAAGCGTCTAAACTCATTTTTATTTCAACCAGCGTGTAATAAAAAACCGTTTTTATCTCTAACAGTTAAACATATTCATACAAATTTTATCTACTATAGTGCAAAAAAGAACGAACATCCTCAATTGACTTTAGCGTTTTCCTGCATGACAGACGTATTTATTGTATTCATATTATTCATATGAACCAAAAAATAAGGAAAACTGGAGAAAAAATAATGTTTTGTTCTTTTTTATTCATCTTGATGGAAACTTCAAATCGACTCATTCAATGAAGAACAAAGAATTCTATCGCGTTCGTACAGAAAAATCATTAAAAATTGATAAGAAAAGCTCCTCGCTCACAGACACGCAAACATGTGTTTAATTTCGACCTTAAATAATGAATTTCTTATCCGTGGTACATTCCATTGACCCGAATTTTAAAAGTAAACAACTTTTCCTGAAATTACTAGTTCAAATTGGTCTCAACTGCGTCAAACTGGAAGTCCAAAGGTGAGAAAAATACTGCTCGTACATGGGCAAAAGAGCCCCTGAATGTTACATTTGCACTTAACGTTATGAAGTAAGTAGTTTTTGATTTATACAAATATAAAAAATGGAAATAATTCTCGAACAATTTTTTTTTTTTCCTCCCATATGTTAGGTAAAGCACAACAGGATATTTCTTGCAACTGTCATCCAATATTATGCATCAATTTAATTTGAAATGATTTGATTTGGTATAAATTCAGCTGTGCTTACTTGTTAATAGAACAAAATATATCGCAAATTAGTTGTTCCCAAATTGGACAAATTTGCCATTTTGAAATTATTTTAACCTTATTTAAACAATGACAGGTGATTCATCAGCTTATTTTTACCTCAGTAATGGTATGAAATTTTCGCAGTTGAGATTTTGAAGCTTGCCTCGAAAAAATTAGAGGCGAGAAAAACAACATGATTTCTTAATACATTTTCCCACCACGCAAATACAAGTTGATACCACATGTGAAGGTAAACTGTACTCAAGTCAAAAATCCAAAATGACAAGTTTTGTTGCCCCAAAAATTGCGTTTTTATGAATTTTTATCCTTAACTTATTCAGACAGACAAAACGAGATTTAAAAAAAACTGGAATTTTTAAGTGAAGATGCGTTGCAAAAAGTAACAGAAACACCGACTGAAAAGCGATTTTGCTATAAAAAGCACAGCAAAACTACAAAAAAGTGGTGCCTCCTTGCAATCAATTGCTTATTTGTTTCTTAGCTGAAAAAAATTTGCAAAAGGTGACTCACATAATTGATAAGAACGAAGCACTCCTAAATTGAAGAGTTTAAAAAATGTATGATTTTGATGTGGTTTTGATCAAAACGCAGTTTTAAATTTCGTTGCAGCTTCTTTGTTGCTGATTAGTCATATTGAGGAACGAGAAAAAAAATTCGGAAAAAACGAGAATATTTTTTCCGAAAACAAATTGCTAATAAAAAGAAATTGAGCCCCTAAACAACTTTGGCTTCAGCATAGATGCCCCTGTCATAAGGGTAAGGTTTTTGATTTAAGATTATAATTTAGTTATTCTGCATGAAAACACAGTAAAAATTAGTATGAAGTAATGGATATCTCAAATCATATATGGATATCTCAAACTTTGATCTAGATTGTGTGTTTTGTCCCCTGCCACGGCAATGATAGTGTGCCAGAACGAGATCTCTTTTGACCTCTAGCTTCAAGCCTACCGCAGCCTATCCGATACAAGCTAAAAAATTGGTGTCACGTGCAAGGTCAAGAAAAGCTATGTTGAAAAAAAAATCAGTTGGTTTGCAAGGAAAAACTATGTACTGACTATTCTTCGACAGGCTGCATAGCCTTGGAATGATCCTCTGCGATTTGCAGTAAAAAATGCAAAATTCATTTAATTCGAAGTTAATCATAAACTAGTCTCAGGCTTCGGATTATAGAGTGCTTACATTTGTATTGTGTTTCTGGCGCGCAAACAGGTTGATGCAGTCCGGTAAAAAACTGTTTATCTTTTTGAACCGACCCGCACTCAGTAAAAAGAGAACAGAATCGATTATATTATAATTATAATCATAGTTTTAGCAAAATTATAATAAATCATAAGCGCCAATTTTAGATGTTTAAACAATTTAATATCCATTTCAATGAAAGCATTTTTGGTGACAATTTAATAAATTTGAGTCAATTATAATTGATAACAATTTTTCCGAAAATATTTTATAATCTCTTATAATCTATTATAATTGGTTATAATCCTTTTTTCTATCAAAAAATTATTTTACAAGAAAAATTAAAAATAATCGATTATAATTTAGTTATTCTGCATGAACACAGAGTAAAAATTAGTATGAAGTAAGAAATCAGCAAACCAGGGGCGGATAGGAGATTTTCTCGAAAGGTGGAGGCGGATTTTCAAAAAATGTCCAAAATATTTATCAACCTTTTCTAGGTCGACCAAATTGATTTTCCGAGCTCTGCCAAATCACTTAAAAGACCCTGTTTTAGCCAAATTTTGTGCGCCGCACGAAAACTTTCAAAGAAACAGGCCAAAAACGGCTTTTTTTTTAGGCTAGTTTTGGAAAATGTTTACCAAAAAATCGCGTTTTTTGGCGCGCGCTCCCCCTCAAAGTTAGTTTTTAGGTTTTTATTGTCGCCAAAGTCCAAAGGGTTCGTCACCATATATGGATATCTCAAAACAGTACAAAGAGCGAACCCTTTGGGTAGACAGGGGATCGAATCCCTGAAAAAAGGCGTCCACCCCTGCAACCCCCTCCCTAAATCCGTCCTTGTAGTAAACAGACAGTAAGAAAGTAAACAGTAAACAATCAGAAAAGAAACCAACTGAAAAGCACACAAAACAAAACCAAAACAAAACGAAATGAAGCGATGACGTTTTTTGAATAAAAATGGATTATAATCGATTAAAATGGATTATAATTCAATAAAATTTCAGAAAAGTTTTTTTTTCAAAAAGTAATTGATTACAATCGAATATAACGGGTTTTTGTTTCAAAAAATACTAACATTTCAATCCATTTTTAATCGATTATAATCTCTTTTTTTGAAATTTATGGAGACTGACAATAAAAATCCATTTCAATCTATTATTTTCTCTTTTTACTGAGTGCGGGGAGGTGTTTTGCTTAGAGCCGAACTGTTTGAATTTTGATATTTTCTGGATGGAATAAAACATCTTAAGTGTTATCTTTTGTAGCAATTGAAAAATTAGAACGCCAAAATTGCATTAGTTATCATGCAATCTCTCAGCTTTTACCGGAAAAATTTTTTCGATTCGAAAAATTTTGCAGAAAAAAAACTCGTGTAAGCTTCTATTTCACTCTAAAAAATGCATTCACAATTTTCATAAATGAACGCTTTAAATTTCTCTCGTTTCCTTGGTTACTACAGTTTTTCGGAAGTGAAATGAGTTTTTAATGGTTTTCATACACATTCTTCGCATATAATTACCTTTTTTTTTTTACAAATTATGGCAATCGGCATTGATTGCTATTATCAATTAATGTTTTTTATAAAAAGAGGATGTTAGTTTGAGCATTTTTTCTTGCCTGTCTAGATATGTAAAATAAATGTTGAATTTTCTGCTCGTTAGCATCAGCAGCTTTCGAGCAGCAGTGCATTAGATAATTGTGTAAATGAATGAAGAAAGAGGCAATTTTTCATTATTGGCTTGTCAAAAGGTTGCACTCAATGCGGATGCACAATTACAATCGCTGCGAAGAGACATAAAAAGCCATAAAATTAGATGAAAATCCACGCAATTCCTTATTGATTTACTTCCCGTTTTTCCTCTAGTTATTTTTGTCTCCCGCAGTTTTTTCAATTAGCAATTGGATAAGGAATCTTATACAGTTCATGGATTTCTAAGCCATTGACCAATTTTTCTATTTGGTACATTAAATTGGCTAATTGGGAGAAAAAAATACAAGAATAAAAGAGTTTTATCAAGCATTTTCAAATGGAAATCTTGTCATCTGAGACCTTATATCATCTGAGACCTTAAAAAATAATTGCATTTCCCCCAACTCAATTTTTATTTTATGAGATAAATTGGCAAATTTCAATCAATCGAAAACTTCAAAAACACCTAGAAACAATTTATTCGGCTATTGGCTGCATTCGCTCTTCGATAAATTTATTATAGTGATTTTTTTCTTAAAAAAACTCTCCAATAAATGCTATTTTAAGTTTATTTCCACAAGTTTTATCATTTATGCAACTGGGTTATAAGAACTATAACGAGCATTGAAGCGACAATTTAAGAGCTGAAGATAACATAATAACTACTTTTGGAACAAATTTGCCAGCCCGACGTAACTTAAGTTGGTAGACTTTATGCTCGTCGCCAAAACCCGCAAAGCTATTTATCTGTGCGGGCTCAAAATATGACCACGATTTGTACGCCAACTTCTAGTTCCGGATTAAATTCCAGCGTTACAACTCCAGAAAAACCCACTCCCAATGTTTTAGAAGAAGTTTACAAGATTCCAGTTATTACAAGTCAAAATAAGAATCCAGTTGTGTCCGCACCAAACCAGAGTAACAAGGTTTTCATGTGGCGTAAAGACAGCAAAATGCATGATCAAATTATAGCTCCAAAAATTGTCCCCAGTCAAAATTCAAACGATGGCCAGTTAGCTATCAAAAAGTATAGCGATATCCATCCAAAAAACGCATATACATTTTCAGAACAGAATATCAATTAGAAAGTTGCTGTTTTTTTCTAGGTTTTTTGGGCAAATTTTGGATGAATTTATTTTGATGTTTAGAGATCAAAATTTATTTTTTGAACTACAATTTTTTTTCCAAAAGGCGCTTTGAAAACTGAGCATTTTAGTTTTTCGTTATTAGACAAAGGTAAAATGAAACTAATTGTTAAACATGGACATCGCTATAACCTGAAAGAACACCTCAAACTTTACCTCTGAACTCCCCTGGATCAACTAATCCTGGCAATGAAAACCAAATCTCCTCTCCTGGAAAGAGTCTGAAACAGTTGGTGAGTCACAGCATAGACATTGCCGTGTTTCAGATGAGTCCCAGACAGGTCAAGGTCAAGTTCGCCTTCCTCACTGTCGGGGACGTGGACACTAAGTCGCAGAGGTTCGTGACCGAAGTGCTGATTCAGGCCAAGTGGGTGGAGCCTAAATTGAGGGGACTCACAGACGTAAGTTTTGTTTTATATCTCATCTTCGCTTTAATTTTTATCAAAAGTTAACAATTTTCCGAAAAACGATATCACATATTATATCTCTTAACATAGTAATACATAATCATAATCATTTTCTGAACTTAATACTTATTGAGAAAGAAAACATTAATTATTCATTATCCACGGAGCTCCACTGCTGGTAAAATTATTGTTGTTGTCTTAATATCCTAATCAGAAATTGCTACAGAGAATTTACGAAACAAATGTAACGTTCAGGATTCGGCAAAGATACAAGCAATTTTTTTTGTATTCAAATATTTAAAAAAATTTGGTGTGTCCACAATCGAATCCAAGTTTGGTTTGGTTTACAAAAAGTTTTGCTGTTTGAATAACGATTTTTGAATTTAAAAATTTCAAAACAGCTTTAGGAATATCGAAATGATTAGTTTAATTAACCTGATAATTTTTGCAGGAGCAAGTGGTTAGTATTGTATGATTAAATTCCTCAATGTAGCTTTCCTTAAATAACGGCTGACATCATTTAACAAGGTGCAACGGCGAATATGAAATAATAGCTGAAGGTTGCAATAAATAGATTAAGTAGTTCAATTCTTTTTAGTTTGTTCTTTTGGGAGAGGGGAGGATTGGTGGAGGACAATTAACATTTGAAGTTCAGTTGTGCACTTAATAGGCGCACAAAAAGGTAACTGTTTTTCATGGATTCCAATTACAAATTTTCCATGGATTCCGCTCTGAAATATGTGTAACGTAGGTTTTATCGACACATTTTTTGGTCGCGGATTCCGCAATGAGCAAATATAGCTAGTTGTAACGGAATCCGCATTACTAGCAGATTCCGCAAATTGTAAGCGGATCCCACAAATGTAGGCGAATTCCGCTTACAATTTGCAGATTCAGCTTACAGTTGCTCATACCGCGGCAGCGTAATTTTCCCATACACACAAATTAGTTTTTGTTTTCGGATTTTGCAACTTGTTCCGGATCCCGCAACTTTTGAACGATACAGTGCTTCAGCTTATTTTCTCGAAATCTAAAACAGTAAAGAAGATCAAAATAAACTAGCAATGTTGCGGATTCCGAAACAAATATTTTTTTCGACCTAGTGCAAAATGTGCTCGTAAATCTCAAAATACGCGTCTTAAGGAAATGCACAATTTTTTTCTTGTACAAAACTTTCATGAACGTGGCCAAAAACAGCGGCCTTGGTCTACTTCTTCGAAACTTCGCGACGTTTTTTCCGTGTTAGAGTCTTATGTGCTTGCCTTTAAAAAAATCCAAGGCCCGCTCCTTCTTCAAAGTTCGTTTAGGCACGACTCTGTCACATGTTCAAGAAGAAGCTTGCGATGTGTATAAAAGAGTTTTTTGGAACATTTTAAAGTAAAATTCCATTCAAAAAGTTTTTAAGAGAAAAGTTGCAATAATCGACATGACATAAAAATCAAAAACCACTTAAAAGCAGATGATTTAATGATAGGAAGCTTTTTTGATAGTTAACGGTTTAGTTCTAATGAAGGTTCTTAAATCGGCGCTGGTCACCAAAATATCCTATGTACCACAATTCTTGTTCAAAACTTTCAACTTAAACCAATTTTGCACCATTATCGTACAGCCAAAATAATTCAGCGTATGAGCTTTCGTGGGCATTTTTGCGTTTTTTAAGTGGAAGTTGAAGTGAATGAAAAATTTTTAATCAAAAATAGGAATCTTGATTTTTTTGACCAACAACAAATTTTGTGTTTAAAAAGGAAAATTACAAATCATTTGATTAATCGAGGAAAAGCCTGTCTTGAAATGGATTTCAACTCAGTTATTCATGAAATCCATTTTCCGTCTATCTGGTTATTTTTCAGCCTATTAATTATTTTTGCGAGTTTTTTCGAAATTTTCTGGATTTGATTTTGATTGAATGGGTGTCACATAATTTTGCTTTAATTTATCGTTGTCCCTTGATATGCATGTGTCCATTAATACTTTAATCAAAATATTTGTTACAACTTAATCCATTTTTTTTATTCATAAAAATTTTGTTCTGTAAATATATGGAATCATAGAACATTTGTGTAGTTTCATTTGAAAGAGTGCATTTGTTTTTTGTATAAGTAATCAGTGTTATCCAAAGAAAAAAAACGATTGTTCACTGAGACAGTTCCAGTTTAAAGCGTTTACCCGCTCCTCAACTAAGCGTCAGTTTTGTGGTGTGACGAGTAGTTCTACAAGGTTTAATATGAAAACCAATTGTGTCTTAGCCTTATTAGTCCGCATGCTAATTTTCATTTTGTTCGGACGATACAAACAAAAAAATTTGTAAAATTTTGCAAGTGGTTGGGGGACGAGTATAAAGAGCCCATTGTGATTTTGAAAATAAATCCAAACTAAATTTTACAAATTAATTGCCAAAACCTTTTTCAGCTCGGTAAATTCATTAAATCAGTTTAGTTTTTGTCTCAAATCCAAAAAAGGAGTAGGGAAAATGTGTAATTGGCCTAATTTTTATAATCAGACAGTTTTGGCGAAAGAAATATTAAATTCCACCAGACATTTTGTGAAAAGTTTGTCTACATGAGTTTAAATGTGAAAAAAATTACGATTTGTCAAACTGTGGGAATTAAAACTTGCCCATTCGGCCATGTTCTAGACTAACTAACGCGTGTTTTGAAAATTCAATGTATGACACCGAAAGTTTAATGCAATTCATATATGGGTGGTATTTTTTATTGCACTCAAATTGTCCCAAATTGATTTGCGAGGCGTTAATTGGTCACATTGATTTTCTGAATGGACTCCATGCTCAGCACTTAAGATTTGATATTGGTGGCAAATTTATATCATAAAAAAACTACCAAAAAACTTAAAACTAGCTAAAATTTAGTCAGAAATATCAGAACAATGCGCTGATAAAAATGACTAGTCTTGTTGTTTTACATAAAATTATATTTTCAAAGATGTTTTTCATCATTTTAGTAAAAAGTTTGAACAAAGCTATTAAAAAAACAAAGGGTTTAGGGTTGTTTTTTTCTAATCAAATTTGTGGTTGAACATTGCTTAGCATACATTATTTTTAATTAGAGAAATTATTTGACTAGCAATTTCTATTACAGAATTTTGCTTTTAAACGCAACATATAAACGTTTTATTTAACGTTTTTTTTGTCATTTTTTTGAAAGTTAACATTGAAATTAGATATGGTTCTTACATAAGAAACTGTAGAACAGCTTATCATGTTATTGGGACCAAATGCTCCTCAGAAAACCTTTCCTTAAAACTTTTCACTGTCTTTGGATATTGCAGGCGAGCCAGGTTGAGAAGATTGAAGAGCTGTGGGATCCGAAGCTGAAGATCCAGAATCTGGAGGAGATCAAAGGCGGCAGGGATGAGAAATGGCACACGATCAAACTGGGCGAAGTGGACCCAGTGGTCGTGTACAGACGACGTCTGAAGGGCAGCTTCTACGAAAACATGGAGCTCAAAGACTTCCCCAGAGATGTACAGGTAAAAAAAGATTATTGTGGTTTCTGCGATTCGCAGAGGATCTATGAAAGGCTATCCAGCCTGTCAGTTAGTCTTATTTCCCCACATTCCAGACTGAGTTAATTTGTTGCGCGAAGCTCTTTTTTGCGACTCAAGGCCGTTTTTTTGCGTCTAGAACTTTCACGTGGTATTTTTAAGAGATGATTATAAACGGACTATGCTTAGACAGGCTGAATAGCCTTACATAGATTCTCTGTGAACCTCAGAAACCTCTTTATAATTTCTTGGGATCCCAGCTTCGGCGGAACTAGTTTTGGATTCGCAGAGAGAAATAGTTTCGACTGGAAACAGGTTCGGGGATGGAACCCTTGAACAAATTTATGTTTGGCATTCATTTTGGTGCAATTTACAGACAAAAAAACGCTCGGCAAAAGTTAAAATTTCTTCAATATCCTTCAGGTTGGAAAAGAATAGAAAAATCAATAGTATCAGTGATATTAAGGGTATCTTTACTTCCTATTCAATTGTTTTATTTATGCTCGCTCTGGTTTTTTAAAATGCCCACTGGGTGAGCTTTAATGATTTTTGGACAAATTTTCAAAAATGTTGAGCCTTTTTTTAAAATATATTTTGCTTTTTATGGAAAAATTTTCAGGATTTTTGAGAAATTTTATTAGAATTTGATTTTTATGGGCAAAATTCCTGGCATTTTGTACACTTTTTTAAAATATATTGTAGCAATTTATACAATTGAATCTGACTCAGCGGTTTAAAATTTTGCAATTTTGTCGGTTGTTCCAGGACATCTCTGTGATTCTGCGGAGTGAGTTGCCGACCAGTGAGATCGATTTGGTCCCTGACCCTGACGAGTTGAGCACAGTTGAAGTTTCTACTTTTCAGGACAAACAGGAGTGGAGCATGTATAAACATGTAGATGTAAGTGTATTCAAGAGTGAGTCTAATCAATCCTGCTTTTTCTTCATTTTATGACCCCCCATTTCAGTTTCTACCCTACCTCTAATATAATTATAAGTAAAATTGTCTTAAAATTGTTCATACGGCAAATAACCTATTAGATAAATAATATAAATTTAAATTATATAAATATTAAAATTATATATTAAAAAAATTTAGGCTCTTTCGCAAAACTCTCTTTTTAAAAAGCTTTAACTCAACGAACTCAGGCGCGGATCTAGGAATTTTTCGAGGGGGCGGATTTTCTTTAAAAATTTTGAAAAAAGGCCAAAAATGCGTTTTTAGGCACTTTTTGGAAAATTTTGACCAAAAAACTGCGTTTTTTCAGCGTGCGCTCCCCCCTCAAAATTAGTATATATTGGCGCCCAAGGCGCCTTTAGAAAATTTTTAGGGTCCGTCACCAAAAACGGATATCTCAAAATAGTACAAAGGGGGAGCTACTGCATATATTTGTGTTGAGGTGCCGGATTTTGTCTTTATCGATGTTTTTTTATTTTGATTATTATTTATATAGAGGCACTTAGCACAGTGGTAAGGCGTTCACTTTGAAATCGTCAGATCATGTAATCGATCCCAAGCCATGGCAATGATAGTGTGCGAGGACAAGCTCTCACTTGACCTCCAGCTTCAGGTCTACCACAACCTGACCAAATTTGGCTGCAATAGTGGTACCACGTAAAAAGTTCTATACGCAAGTTCTAAAACGGCCTGGAGTCGCAAAAAACAGCTTCGCTCAGCAAAAATAACACTGACTGGAATGTGGGGAGATAATACAAATGGACTATCCTCGACAGCACTGTAAAGGCCTATTGATAGCTCCTCTGCGATTCGCAGGAACTACAATTATTACAATTTATTATTTGTTTAGGTGTCGACGAAATTACCGGAGACTGATGATGATGACAATTTGGACGAGAACCCTTTCCTGAATATCCCCATCATCACTGCTACTGCTAGAGTGGCCAGAAGGTCCACATTTTTCTTCTGGAACGCCATTCTAATCATGGTAAATGAACCTTGACATCTGATTCTGTGCTAGTAATTTGAGCCTACAGGAAAAATAATTTTATTGCGGCAAAAAAAAACGAACATTTACAAGAAACGAACGCTTGCGGCGCTGTGCTCCGATGCGCTTATATTATGCAAAAAAATATTTGATATTACTTTTTGTTGCGTTTTGTTTAGGAATTGAATTAAATACAGAACTGAAAAAAATTGGCTTTTCTTTTCTCAAGTTCGAAGAAATTTTCATTGTTTTTTTTTGCGTATATTTAAGCATGTGATACTATTTTTGTTTAGTTTCTTTTATACCCAATTAAGACCCCAATTTTTTGTGATTTTGTAGTCAATGTTAAAACGAAATGTTTTAAGAGCCAATTTTGTTCATTTTGAAATTCCTTAATTTTTTGGCAAAACTTTGAAAGTTTTTTTTTTGTTAATCTTCCCAAACACAGTTGCATGTACAGAATGATATATTTCTCATCTGGTAACGCGTTATATAGACCATATGGGTTGCCTTATTCAATTTAATTTTATTTTAGAGTCGCTCGAACTTGTCGCGAAAGCGCACTAACCATCTATGAAACTTTCCGCTTATCAAATAGTTTATTTCTGAAAACCTAGGCGTTTTGTTTTTACTTTTGGAAACTGTGAGAAAATTTTTTGTGCTTTTTTGGTTTCATTTTTTACATTTTTTTGTGGTTTGGGCGCAGCCAACTTTAGGTAATAAATGAGCTATTAACTTCGTGGTGTTGATGCGTTACCGGCTACTTAATCTGTCTTAAAAATTTATTCAAACCCGAATTGAGCTGAAGCAAGTTTTTTTTTGTTATACTTTTTGGTTATAAGTTATTGGAAGTTAGGAGCATCACTTTGTGTTTCTCTAGCGTATCGATTATCATTTATAGAACAAAAACTATTCATGAACTTTTTAAAGATTTTTCAAATCTTTGAAAAGATATCATCACTTTCTAAATCGACTAGAAATTTTTCATCAAAATATTGTCACAAGACGAGAACAGCAGGTGGAATAATCAAGATGTCGACCTTTTCAGAGCATTCTGTTTAGTGATAATGTGCCCTTGCATTTGATTTGATTAAAATTTAAACAGTTCCAATTAAATTTGTTCCGACTTTCAGAGAAGATGGAGGATTTTTGCTTGGGCTAGTTTTTCATTCATTCAATTTTAAAACTTTTGAATAATTGTTTTTTTTTTAGACATTTTTTCATAAATGAACCCTATTTTTTCACATTATCGTGCCCTCAGCTCAAGTTTTCAATGACTTTTTTTATTACCTGTGATCAATTCTTGTAAATTTATAGGCGCTTGCAAATTGCATATTTGGCCAATATGTGGAAAAACCAATTATTCCAATTTGATATTAGGCCAGCAATTTTGGTAATATAATTTTGGTGCAAGTCTCTAAATACATCCAAATGCTTTTACTTAGTGTTTTGGGGGTATTTCATTAAATCCACTATTTTATCAAACAAATTCTTTAAAGTGAAACCCGCACTGGAGTTCCATGGATAATATTTCATTTTATAGTCAGTTTAAAATTTAAACTTTAAATAGTCACTTTAAAATTACGAAAAAAAATCGATCATAATCCATCAAAAATGGATTATAATCATAATACTTTTTTTATTAAAATCAATTTTAATGGATTAAAATCGGTTATAATGTATTTTTGAGATGAAATTTTGAAATTTGCATTTTTAAAAAAAAGTTATCTCATTTCTTTTTGGTGCATTTGCTATGTATTACGTTTCATAAATTTTTAGTTTTGAAAAAATATTTCAATTATTTAAATTTTCTCTTCTTTTTCTTTATTACGTAAACTCCATCGCCTCTCTTAACAACCCCCTGCCCCTGTTAACCCCGCCCCCCCACAGTTTACCCCTCCTCATTTTACCCCCATCTTAGTTTAAACCCCCCTCCCCCGTTTACTGAACGTTGGCTGGTTAAGAAAACGTGGCGGCGGGGGGGGGGGGGGGTGGGGAGGGTGGAACAAAAAACTTGGGTGAGGGGGTTGAAATGGAGAATGGGGATAAATAGTTGTTGTTCATACTGAGTAAACCCCCTCCCCTGTCCCCGTTTAATGGTAAATAAACTGGGGGGAGGGGTGTAAACTATAACTTGGGGGTTGGTTTTGGGGGTAAACTTTTGTAAAAATGGGGGTGGGCGTAGGGAATAACGCATGGGAGTGGGGGAGTTTTGGTTTGGGCAAATGCGAATGGGAGGCAAAGTGAGGGGAGTAATTTGAGTAGGTTTAGGTTGCGAGTAGGCCGTGAGTAACACAGAAATTATGCAATTTTTTTGCAATGAATTTGCAAAAAATTTTAAAAATTATAATCCGTTATAATCAAGTATAATGGATTTTAAATGGATTATAATCCATTATAATGGATTTTAATGGATTGTGTTTTTACGAAAACAATCAATTTTTAATGAGAATATAATTGATTTTGTGGTCTAAATTTGCAGAAATAATGGATTATTATGACAACCTTTTAGACAACAATTTTCCATTATTATCGTTTATTATGCATGGAAGTCCGGTGCGGGAAGCTTTGTTTCGGCTATAAGGGCCAGTCAGGAAACTCAAGATGTGTCCCTGATTTAAGAGCAGTCTTGCTATGTTCTGTATTATAAATGGAAAAGTGAAATACATTTGCTAAATTTTGTCTTCTTTGGGCATTTTTTGCTAAGCTAACGAGTAAAAATACAGTGATATTTGATTCTTTGTATCAGGCAAAGCCATAAAATTGAGGCAGAACTTCACTCCTTGTAATTAAATTTTGTTAATGATGTTTGTAGAAAGTCTCCAACTATTTGCAATTTTTTTGCACTGAGACTTTTGTTCAATTGATATCGCTTGATGAAGCTTAATAGCATGACTATTCAATTTAGAGTCGCCTCTGAACATAATATTTAGCCGCTAACGCGATAAGTTGTGTTTGAACGATCCTATATTCGTTAATCTAGACAAAGGAGTTCAAGAAAAAAAACAGGCTCGAGGTTTGCTATTTATGTTTCGACCGAGGCGGGTCAAACGCATGTCAGAGTTCGACCAAAAATCCATAGTCGAGAAGGTCCAATAGTCAAATTCAAAGTTGTTACCGGTCAAACTCTTCGGTTGAACTCGGTGGAAACGTTTTTCTCGGTCAAATTTGGTTAAAACTTTTTCTCGGTCTAACTTGGTCGGTTTGTTCTTCATCGCTCGATTATAGTTGAAACACGAAACATAGATAGCTCTGGCCGAGTCGGTCGGAATATAAATTGCAAACCTCAACCGCGGAAATGCGGAAAACATGCGCTATAATGCATCTAAATTATATGACGAGTACAAAAATTGTACATATTTTTCAATTCGAACATAAATACATCTATTTGTAGCGCAGAGTTGATTCCCTGACTAAAAAAAATTCTCTTTTTTTTTGCTCTTTTTGGTACAATTTTGTAACATCACTTTTTCTCTGAGTGACCCAAAAAAAATAGTTACCTTATCTGAAAGTGAGCACACGCTCATAATCACATCTTAATTTCAGCCTTGAAAAAAGCCCAAAATTTCTTATTTGCAAATTTTATGAAAGAATTGGGTCAAAATAGGATCCGCCCTCAGTAATTTGCGCCCACGTACCATAATTTATTTAGCTTGTGCAAGACTTGAAATGAAAAATTCTGTTTAATCAAGCAGTATTGTTTCAGTTAGAAGAAACTGGATAAAATATTTGGTAGGAAAATAATTGTGGGAAAAGAAACACTTCTCTATGAGAGAGAAGCAAACCAAAAAATAGCTCTCCAAAAACCATGTCCAAATGTTTGGTTGATTGCCTAAATAAGAAGACGGGTTTTATCAGGCGTCTAGACTAGTCTTTAGACTCCAATCCGAACAGCAGTAATTGGTTGCTACTCCCATAATAACTCCCCAAAACCCTTATCAATTGAAGATCTAAGATTGAAGATTTAGACCTTGGGGCTTACTGTGTCCTTAAATTAGGTTTACGGCAGATTAATTTCTTTCGATTACTTTTAAACTTTATTACTTTAATTCAAAATTCACGGTCAACCTAACAAGCCGCTTTCAGAGTCCAGCTATTAAAACAAGGAATTGGTTCAAGTTAAAGAAAAATCGTAGCGTCTGGAATAACAAAGTTGCTGAAATATGTTCTTGTGTTCATTCAGGGATATATCTAGTGTAAGTACGGAGTAAGCCGATTTGAGAAAAAAAATGAAATTTTGGTCGGAAGTTTTAAGTGGTCGACCAAATTGATTTCCCGAAATGTCTCATAACGCTATAAAAAATCTATTTTGCGAAGGTGTCTTCAGAAAATATTTCAGGGTCGGTTGGCCGAAAATGACTGTCAATAAAATTATCATTAACTGGTTTGTTTTTCTCAACAAATTACTCTTGTTCATGGCAGCAAAAAACTCGACTTGTAGTGTCTATGGATTCAATAAAAATGCCATTTTATCATCTCTCTAGCTAACTTTAAGGGGGGATGGGGGTGTTTTAATGTTTATTATCAAAATCAGTTTTCTTTGATTCATTTTTTTTTGTATTTAAGATGTGTATAGTGACGTTGAGTTTCTGTGGCTTCGCTCTGGACTACCAGGACGTGAAGTTCCGCATAGCTGGCAACTTGACCTTGCTACTGACCTCTGTCGCTTTCAAGCTATCTGTCAATCAACACCTCCCGATGATACCATACCTCACTGGACTGGTAAGTCAGGAAAAAATAACTATAATAATCATATTAAATTGTTTTCAAGCTAGTATTCCAGTAGTCCTTGTTATAAAACCGCATTTACAACCATTAAACAAACATTAGCCTGAGAGATAGTCATGAGAACTTCTGGTCCGTTTTCAGAATTCTCTGGTTCAGACTTCAACTGATGTTTTGGACCAAATTACCAATACCCCCCTCCACCCATCCCCCCGAAGCCATTATGGGAGAGGTTGTTAATTCGGCTCTGAGTTCGAATTTTTAGCCAATCACAATATAGCATTTTACACGCAGCTCTTAGCAAATTCAATTTAAACTTTTGAACTGAACGCTGGGGTGAAGGATTTTACCTTGGTCTGTTTGGGGGAAAATATAAGCTTGATCCAAAGTTTCAGAACCATTAAGCTATGTTGCCGAAGCAACTACATTTTCCCAATCTTCATAATCAAAAGTCACTGTGATCAAACATTTGTAATCTCTGTGATATAAACACTCGCGAAACAAACCAGAACTAAGAAAGTTGACTCTTGGAGCCATGTTTTGACCTAAAGTGACGAGTCAACTACATGTTTTGGCGAGCAAAAAAGCCGATCTCATCAATTTTCGTACAGTCTTACAGATCAAAGAGTTTCTTATTTAGTAAAGAAGGAATACAATCCCCCTTTTTTGGAATTTTCGGGAAAATTTCAGCAAATAATTTGGTTTGGTAAGTTGGTTAAGTTCTACAACACAGCGACACAAAACAGCGATATAATACAATTAATCCAAAGATACAATACAGTGGTAAAAATGTGTTTTTTGAATATGTTTTGAATACTGTTTCAGAAGATTGGATTCTCATCTCGCAAATGTATGATACTGACAATCAAAATACACTGATAAGGTTGTGAATATTTATTCACAAATTGGATGCTTTTCTTGGTTTGAACTACTTCTCTATTCAGCTGGAATTTGGGCTTCTCCTTCAAAAATACTAGAAAAAAAGAAGAATTGAAAACAAAAGGAAGACGAATAGTTGAACAAAATACAGGCTGAAGAAAACCAAGATTAGATGTGGGCAATTATATTTTTTAAAGTTTAACCCCGAATTGTCTCGTTTTTTTTTCTCACACACTTTCAAAAAATCCAGAAAAAAAACATACTCGAGCCTTTTGTTTTTTGTAGTAGTTTTTGTTGGTCGCTGCCTTAAATATTTTTGACAATTTATTTCAATCTCTTCCCAACAAAAAAGAAAAAGAAAACTGTCTTATTAGACTGTGATAGAGATAACCAATTTCTGAACACACTGAGAACAAACAACCTTTTGTACTTTTCCTTGTCAATTCATCTTGTTCGTTGTAATTTTACTTCGCAAAATAAAACAACTATCTTGGTTCGAAATTTTGTACGTGAAAGCAAAAGTTGAATTCGAATTTGAAGAGAAAACGAATTAAATAACATTTCCTTGCATTTTTTGAAAAACAATAACGCTTCTTGTTAAAGTGTAATGTGACATATCAAAAAGTAAAAAATATACTGGCACTTGATGCTGCAGTTTTGAAGACTATGTCTACTTAAACAATTTGGCTAGAATTGCATTGAGCATAACAAAACATCTGTTTGACAGTTCATAGAAGAACTCTTTGAAGATTGTTTTTCAACTTTTTGTTTTTATTTCACATGACAGAAAAGTAAAACTTAAATTGGCTTGAGGTTAATACGAGTATTGCAATTAAAATTGTCATTTGATTTGATTTATAAACTACCACCCTAAAACTATAGATAAATAGGTTTTGGTGGGCCTAAACAAAAAAATACATAACAAAAAGTCTTTTTGACAGTTCACGGAACAACGCTTTGTTTGTTTTTCAATTTTTGATTGACTTTAATTGCGCATGCCTTAATTGTAAAACATAAATTAAAAAAACATATAAAAATCTTAGACGGACTTTAAAAAAAACGTTTTCTAAATCATAGACGATTCCTGGTTTTGTTTAATTTTCCTTTTTTCTAACTAATTTGCGCATCGCCTCGGTTTTATATAGCCGTTCTCACAATCTACATACGACAGGATCTTCGACGATCAACTTCAATAGCAACAAAAAAAACGATGTCAGCGTGCAACAGATTTCGCATTTGCCAAATGCAGCTCAATGGATCTCTCGACTTCTTGGATAAAAAACTCTGCTCAGTAAAATCAACTCGTTCTTTGAGTTCGTTAGTGGCAGCAGCAGAAGACAGACTGCAGGAACTGAATCAATTTTCAGCGGAAATCATGGATACCGGATCGCCCGAACAAACTAGGTTTGTCAAAGCAACAGCTACAGATATTGCAGTACGCCTCTTACAACTACAGAGTGGCATCAACGATAACGATTCACTAACTCAATACAACGCGCAACTTATCCACGACTTCGAGAGAAGAAACACGAAATCAGACAACGCGCATGCCGACATGGCCCCATCATCAATTACAGACAATCATCGAGCAGAAACAAGCTATTCACTTCCAGACGATCGGAGAGCAGAAACAAGCCAACACTTACAAATTTACGACCCAAACTGCGGATACAACAACTTACATCATCGTCCAAGACATTCTCAACCTAATATGAGCTCCGCAATAACCCACAACTATTCCGAAAGCAACGAACATCCGACAAACAGACAAGATGTTGTCACAGAGACAAGAATTTTTGACAGCAGCCCTCATCCCCCGTCGTTTGCAAACAACAACGCTTTTTCTCAATGCCAGCAATAAACCAATGATTGTCAATAACTTTGGAGATGCAGGTGCTCAGCTGAGTACGGATACAACAATCGAGATCCACGACGATGTAAGTTCGGAAACTGTAGTCTACAACCAACAGCAGCCCAATACAGCAAACAGCACAGTCCAAACAGCAGGGTTGCAAAGCCCATCGTTTGCTTTTACAATTCCGCAGCCTTATCACCTAATGCAACCGGGACTACACGAGTAGACCTACGACAAACTTCACAATCAATTTCCACCCTTCAACAATGCAAAACCGTCAACATTTAGCAGCAATGCCCTAGCGCCCTGTTCCTCAAACGTTATATCAAGCAATCCACAGGCTTCCAAAACAATTGGACCAGAGAATTTCAACCAATACAGAACAAAGCGCGAGCAATGCCCTTCTTGTAAGAACGAACATAACATCATGCAATGCCCACAGTACAGTTCTTCTACGCCACCTCAACGCTACAACATCGTAAAACAACTTGAACTTTGTGTCAACTGCTTAAGCCCTCATCACCTCCGAACTACTTGTGTCTCAAACAACCGTTGTCAAGAGTGCAACGGGTTTCATCACACAAGCCTTCACGAGCCAAACAAGTTTAAAAAATCAACTTTCGTTGTCAACGCCCATCATGACTTGTTTCACAAAACTATGCACCCAACTTTACAAGAACCAGTTTGGGGTTCCGACAATTTTTGTAAACCCGCACCCCAGGAAACCCGAAACTTTAATCAGCAGTCTGCAGATTTTAACCAAAAAAGCAAAGAGTACAAACCTAAAAGTAGATGGTTTCCAAACCAACCAGACCTAAGCCGATATGGTGCCCAGCACTCTAACAAATCAGAACATCAGCTATCAAAAACAGAGATGTCATCGCAACATAGCAAAGACGCAGCATGCGCAGAAAATCAGGGAGGATTCACTGCCTGTGAGTTTTCGAGTTTTTGTTCAGAACAACCTCAATGGTTTGAACAACTACAACTAATGCCGGTTTCATTCTGCCATGGTGAAACGAGCACAACTATTTATGCATTAATTGACCACGGGAGCCAATTTAGCTTCATCGTTGATGAAATAGCAGATAAACTACAATTTCCATCTGTGGAACACACATCAATGTCTCTTCGTTATATCGACATTGATCATGAAATGCCAGTTGCAAAGGTTGATAATGCTGTTCACATCTCACCGCATGACAAACCGGATGTTAAGTTCTCAATGAATAATTTGTAAAAAAAATCCTTGCTTAAACATACCGGCGGCAGATGTGTTTAATTTGAACGAGATTTGCAGCTCTACCAACACACTTCGCCATATTCATTTTCCACACCTCGATCATGGGAAGATTGGAGCTTTGCTTGGTGTAAACTCATTCTTGTTTACATATCCTCTACACGTTATTGAAGGAAACAACTTCATACCTTCAGCTGTGCAGACAAAACTTGGATGGACATTAGCCGGCGAATACCATCTGAACAAAAATAGTCAACAGCGACACTCATCCAAAACAAAACATCGGCCCTTTGTCTTCCACGTTTCTCGAAACAAAACAACAGAGCAACCTCTGGACTACCTTGTACAGCAGTTTTGGAAATTCGAGGAAAACGGAATCACTACACTCAACAAAAACTACAGCAGCGACGACAAGCTTGCTCTCCAAATGTTGGATAACACGACAAGACTTGTAAATGGACGATACGAAATAGGTCTTCCCTGGAAACCCAACTCAAGTCTCAGCAACGACTACTGTGTAGCTCTGAAACAATTGCAATCATTGCGGAAAAGACTCGGAAAAAAACACCGATCTACAAAATTTTTATGAAAAGACGCTAGTTACGGACTTGGAAAGTCTTACGCGCAGCCAGCAGTTTTTACCAAAGAAGTACCTTCTAGATTGTGGTATCTGCCTCACCACGAAGTCGTAAGCCCTAACAAGCCGAGAAAGGTAAGGCGTGTATCAAATGCTGCCTCCAAATTCAAAGGCCAATCTCTAAATTCTAATCTGCTAACAGGCCCAGATTTGCTCACAATACTTACTGGAGTCCTTATGCGGTTTCGTAAGTTTGGTATTAGGACACTAGCTGACATTGAAGGAATGTTTATGCAAATAAGCATAAAAGCAGAAGACCGTTCCTCGCTACGTTTTCTCTGGGATCACAAAAATGTTATTAGACATTACCAGTTTTCAAGACTAATCTTTGGAGCAACTTGCTCTCCATTTTGTGCTATCTACATTCTACAGAAATGTGCCAAAGA